AGCTTTTTCTTTTTTTTCAAAATGCCTAGCCAACTGTCCCAACACCATTTATTAAATAATCCAGGTTTCCTCTATTCTTTTGAAATTACCTCTATTCCTAAATTACCACGTGTGAATCTACTTCTGAATTCTCTTCTGTATTATTAACATCACCCCTCTACCTGTCTACCTATCCTACCCTATTTTAACATCTTTAAGGACTATATCATTTTGTACCTTTTTAATATACAAATGTATCAAATAATAGTAGCCATTAATATTTTTAAGTTGAATATACCATGATTTTCTAAGTCAATACACCTTGGTCATTCTCATTTGGTAACAACTATGTAATATTCAAAAATAAGAATGTATCAATTTATTCAATCATTCCACTATGAATGGACATTCAGATTATTTCTTGTGCTGCAATAAAAATAATCCCCATTTCAATAAAATATTTGTCAAATATTAATTATGATGAAAATCCTAATTTATTAAAAGCCATGTCTAGTCAAAAAAAGGGTGTGGGGGAGGAAGAGCAAAGTAAACCATGCTCCTGTGGTTTTTCTGAGCAAGTCAACGTCTGCTGAATATCTGAAGCAATTACATGATTTGTGTGGCTGCCACAAGAGTACAAGAAGTTATTGAAAACTCTAAATGGAATTAGTCAGCTGGTGTGCTCTTAATAAAGGGACAAAGATTTCTTGTAAGCTGATGATAGACCATTTAACAATTCCCATTCTATCTACAAATAATACTTGGCGCAGGCAACCCAATTTCCAAAAATACCAATGCTATATAGAGAGAAGAGGAAATGGTTATTTTCGTGGCTTATTAATCACTTCAGGATGAGCTGCTTGAGTGGTAATTAAACCCATACTGGAGGCCCAATATTTTATAAGATAACATTTTTTAAGGAGTAACAGAATCAACGGGAAACTGTAAGTCAGACAGCTGCTATCAAATGGAGAGGTCAAAGTGATTGCCAGTGCCTAGAGAAAAATACATCCTTTAGCCTCAAGGATTTTGATTATGCTTTTTCATTTATGTGTGAGTGTGTTTAAGCACATGTACCTTTGTGTATATATGTATAATTTCAACATTCAGACCGAAAACAGAATATCAGGAATCAAATCAATGGATGGTATGTGTGGCTTTGGGGCTCCTAATAATCACATTAATCACAAAATTCTTTCCCTGCAGTTGACATACCACTACAGATACTGTATGTCTCTTCTGATACTCCCCAAATTAATCTCTCTTTCCCTAGAAATATACTAGAAATACTTTGTATTGCTAATGACACTTAATTTAACCATAAGTAACCATTATTTGGGTACATCCTACTTCCATCACTAGTTCTTTTTCTGGATGACCCAAGACTTGAAGTGTCCTGGCTCACAAAAACATCAAAATTGGTTAAGTGTGAGGGTTGTTCACAAGCAGTCACTGAACCCCTGTGCTGAATTATGGCGACAGTTCACTCTTTTTATACATTGGAATGGCTTGAAAATTAACCCCCATCTGTCTTACCCTCTTCAATTCAGGTATTCTTCCCTGAGTGGAAAAAAGGGGGTGGGAGCTGAAAATTGTGTATAACTGATATGCAGACCAAGGTGGCATGTGGTGTGTGAGAACCACCTAGGCTTTGGGAGAAATAAGGTTGACAACCTGAGCACAGTGCCTAGAACACAGTAGGCATAAATATTTTTAGTCTGAATCAAAGATAAATAAATAAATAAATTGAATAGTATACCTCAGACAAAACAAGTCAAGAAAAGTATGACTGACCTAATGACTATGAAATACCTCAAACTATTAAATGCAAGCTTTAATAATTGATAGTTATCTTATAACCTTTTAATTCCCTATGGATCTATTTGCAAAATGTTGAAAGAAGGCGAAAGAGTGGAAAAAATGATTCTGCTGATTATCATTCAGAAGTAAATGAGAAAGCAAGACAGAAGAATGAATGTGTGGAAGACAAGGGCAAAGAGGACAGGATTTTGAGACTTAACCTTATCACCTATCTTATTTTGACAGTGCGGAAGAGGAAAAACTGTTACCTTTGATAGTAACAGAGGACTACTCATAATTATTTTGCCACTAAAACCCCCACACATTGTAAAGTGTGGCTTCTTGTTCTTGAGCAAGAGCATATTAAGCAAATAATCCATACGTAATAAATGAAGCAACTGGTAGACTTTATTCAAAAGGCGTCATTCTTCCATTCTGCACTACAACTCTAGGATAACTGAAGTCAGGTTATTTTCACTGTCAGTGGACTGGACTTGAGAGACTCAATATCAATTTATGCTGCTGAAATCGCCAAGCTATGGAGGCTGAAGGGACCTATCCAAAATCTGGAATATCCATTTATCTTGTAAAAACAAACCAACTCATGTGTGCTCTTTTCTATGCCAGGATGAGCAACTAGATACTCACTGTACTGAATTCAATGTAAATCAAGTTGGTGATATATTAAAAACAACTTTATTTAACTGTATTCTTCAAAAGCGGCAAGCCCATTCACAAAGACCTTGACACCGAGCTCAAACTTGATGAGAAATGTAAAGAAGAAATATCAAAGAAGAATCAGTACAAAGCAAATACCACATTTAACAAAAGAAAGGGGAAAAAAAAAAAAAAAAGGACACCGTAGCCTGACAGGCCTCATTTAGAATGCTGCCTCTACCGCTAACTACTTGTTGCAAAATTACTAATCTTGCTAAGATCTTTCCTCTTATGTTAAAATTCAGTAACAGCTCTACCAAGAGAACACTTTTTCTATACTACCCAGCATAGCGGCTGGCACGCAGATTCTCTGTTAATGGTAGGAAATCTTCCCTTTACCCACAAACTTTGTAGAGAGACTATGGGTTTGACTGGCAGCATCTGTTGGCTAAACCTCAGCCCAAGATGTGTCTGTTCAGGAGAGCACAGACGTCTCATTTAACAGTGGTCCGTATATTGCCCAGGTGATATAAGCTCTAGCCTCAGAAACTGAAAAAGAAATACGGAAAGTTTCCTTTTCTTTGAGTGATATACAGTCAGAAACAGTGCCCTGGCACAGTCCTGAGTTTTGCTGAATCAGATCCTGTGTCTATCATATTTTCTTACAACTCAGGCAATCAGTACACTGCCGTCTTTAAAACACTGTGAATTTAACTGTGTCACAGGGGTATTTTACAACTTCAACTGCTTTCCTAAATGTCCAATAAAATCTCCTTCAAATCATATTAATGGAAATTCAAACGAAATGAGACAGAGGAAGGTAAGGGAGGCCCATGAAATGTCATTGTTAGATAACCAAACACTCTAACAACAAGTAAG